TACATAATGTGTATTCATTAGTCTTGAGGGATAGCCTTGTGATTCATTTGCAGAATGATAGCTTCAGATGAAGGTAACCCGCCTTTCTCTGCAGGCTCAGATTTGTGAATGCCCAAGCTTTAAGGAGGAGGAAGGGGAATGCAAGCTTGGTTCAGCATATGAAAGTCAACTGAGGACCAGAATCCAGCAAAGTTGCAGCATACAAACCAAGACACAAAATCAACTTCACTTGTAGATATCAACAATGAACATTCCAGAAAAGTAAATGAAGAAAACAGTTATAGTTAGAATAATATTGAAAAGTCAACAATATGCTTCAGAGGAAGCTGATTAAGAAGTGCATGACTTATAGGCTCCAAAGTAAAATTCAACTCAATTCAAATTTAAAAATACATAAATAAATGGAAAGTCTTTGCATGTTCAAGGATTGAAATATAATATTGTTAACATGTCAGTACTACCCGAAACAATCTAAAGAGTTAATGCAATTCTTACTAAAATCCCAGTGGCTTTTGTTTTGCAGAACTAGAAATGCTTAAAGTTTTTGAATATCAAAGGATTGAATGAAACAATTTTAAAAAAGAATGACTCCAACGTCTCACATTCTCTGATTTCAAAACATATTTCAAAGTTGAAGTAATCAAAATAGTATGGTGGGAATATAAAGAAGAAATATAAACCAAGGGAACAGAATTGAGAACCTAGAAATAAATCCTTAAATATATGGTCAGATGATCATTAACAAATGTCCCAAGACCACTCAATAGGTCAGCAACATAGTTAACCAGTGGAGTTGAGAAAACTGGATGTCCAGAGACAAATGAATGTAATGGGCCAATGCGTCAGCTCAGTGGGCAAAGGTATTTGTTACCAAGCCTGACAACCTGAGTTCAATGTCTGGGACCCACATAAGGGAGGCGAGAACTCACTCTGACCTCCACATGTGCACTGTGGCATGCAAATACCCCCCTGCAGTATAAATAAATAAACATAATAAAAAGCATGAAACTGACTCTTTACCTAATGCCACAAAGAAAAATTAACTGTAAATGGGTAAGGGGAAAGCTTTAGGACATTGGATTTGGCTATGACTTTTTGGAGAATGCCGCCCCAAACACAGGTGTTTTGCTGTTACAGAAACAGGTAAGGGATCTACATCAAACTTTCAACTCTTCTGTGTGCTGAAGGGTGCCACAGCCGCAGAGTGAACACAGCACACAAACCCTGCTGCCAGGAAGCTTGACACAGCACAGTCAGCAGCATGTGCAGGGGGTGATGCGAGCTCTGAAGGGAAACAGCCCAGGGGAAGAGAATCAAATCTGTATGGGGGCAGGAGGCAGCTATAGATGGAAGGTCGAGGCCTTCTCCAGTCTCAGCGTCTTACCAGCCACCAGATCCCTACAGCCGTAAATCCATGTCCACCTATGCATCCAACGAGCATCTCAGACTTCGCATGCTTCTTCCCGGTTACTCGTGTTCAAACTAGTCCTCTCAGTCATCTTTCCCTTTTCTGTAAATGATGGCTCCATTGACCTAGTTGCTCAAGTCAAAAACCATGGAGCTCCCTTCCCCACCCGCCGCTGAATCTTTTCTTCTGCCTCTACTTCAGTCTCTGGTCCCTGTGCTCCCTTCACCGTTTACTCTCTACACAGCAGCTGGCGGCCTTTCATCCCAGAACACCAGTCCTCTGCTCAAACCCTCTACTGACTCCAAATAACCACTTAAGAGGCATCCCCTCCCTCCTTGCTAGTTCCTCCTTGCTCCCTGTCATCCACCCGACTCCAGGCTGTTCCTTAAACATACCAAGCACACTTGCTTTCAGGTGGCTTCTGGAACCTTCTCTCCTCAGGACCACTCATTTCCTTTCAGAAATGGCAGCTTTCCCTCCCACTCCCCTAGCCCTGTGCAGGTCATTTTTAACGTCTCACCCGCTGCCGTACTGTTTATTTATCATTCTTTAACTACAATTTAACTACATTCTCTTTCCTCGTCTTATCCCCTGACAAGGAGCTATAAAGTCTGCAGAGCTCTTAAAGTGCTCTATTAGTGTCCTTATTTCACAAAGAAAGTGAAGTTTACCATGGTCAGAGAACTTGTACAGTCAAGTAAGACAGGTAGGTGTATCTCCGTGTGTCTGACACCCAAACCAGTAGTCTTAACTGTCACAACATGGCTGCCTTTCAGTCAATGGTGCACTGACGGTGGGGAATCCAGCTGAACCATGCTCAGGTGGGTCAGTCAAGACACAGTGTGAGGGCAGAAAGGAGCCAACCACAGGGAGGCACTGGAGAAGGTGGACTACTCGGACACAAGATTGGAAATCTCAGAATAAAGTAAGAGTGTGTGTGTGTGTGTGTGTGTGTGTGTGCACGCACACACACACACAGCAAGTATGTGTGGGGTATAAGAGAGAGAAAAAGCATATATATATGGGTATGTACTCATAGGATCTCTCTCTCTCTCTCTCTCTCTCTCTCTCTCTCTCTCTCTCTCTGTCTGTCCTTGAGACAGGGTCTGTCACTGATCCTGGAGCTGGGCTGGTGGCCAGAAATTACCGTTGCCTGGATCCTGTCTCTCCCAGCTCTGGGGTTATAGGCATGCATGGCTGCATTGGCTTTTTATGTGGGTGTGGGTGCTAGGGCTTTGAACCCATGCTGTGCAGTCAACACTCTTTCTTGCTAAGCTATGTCTCCAGGACAGAGTTCGGATTTGATGGGATTCTTATTGGACTTCTGAGTAGAGCAGTCAGATTTAAAGATAGTTTTAGAGACACAGTCGAGGCTTGGTTCCTGTACCTGTCACCCTGCCTCTTGCTGCCCCATACTCTGCCCCATCCCGAACAGCAGCTTTCCCTGTGAGTCACTGGTGTCCTGCTCACCTGGGCACAGTATCCTAAGTGATACATGAGCTGCTTCTTCCATTGGGTGCCTTCTGACTCGGACCTTCTGGCTGCCCCAGCCCTAACCCAAACCTCCCTCCCATGGATGTTTCCTCTGCATCTAAATCCAAGTTACTGCTCAAACCAACAGTATCTTGCAGCTCTCTGCAGGACTTTCTGACACAGGCTGGCCTGGACCTTGCTTAAGCAGGTATCTGTTCAGCCCTGTATCAACACCACACTGCCACATTTTCCAAATCAGAAATCATGCTTTTCTTTTTTTTGTACTTTGACCAACGCATGGACCAAGAGTCTTATCGTACCCCCAGGCACCGTAGTTACTGTGGATTTCTCTAATGCACTTGGATGTTTAATATACTTCGACATCCATTTTTATTTCATCTCTACACTCACTCCCAGGCCTGTAATGAACAGTGCTTCCCCATTTTAGAATCAAGGAAGGGAATCTACTTTTCCTACTGCAGAGCCTTTGCTATTGGCTCCTTCCTCTGACCCTTTAATCCCTGATTTTAAAATAACTACTTTGTATGTGATGGCTGTGCTAAGGAAAACATTGTGTTGAAGCTCTAACACCCAATATGACTATCTTTGGAGGTAAAGTCTATAATTAAGAATGAGTTCATAAGACTACAACCCTGTATGTTAGGTTTGATGGTTGTGAATTAAGAGCCACCAGAACTGTCACCTTCCCCTTTCTTCAAGACATCCATGAAGAGGTGACGTGAGCACAGAGCAAGATGGCAGGCACCTCAAGGCATCACTGAAGATGAGCCTGCAATGAGAACCGACTTTGCCGGTACACGATCTCGGCTGTCCATCCTCCAGAGCTATGAGAACACACATTCCAGTGATTTAAGCCTTCCGGTCTATGATTCGTTGTTACTGCAGCCCAAGCTGGCAAAGACAGGTAGTAATCTTCAGTAATGAATGAGTGTTTAGAAAATGGAACAGTTCTTCGGGATCAAGTCTGGTTCTGCTTTTTGTGAATTCCTCTCATGGTGTGTTGTGTTGCTTTTAGGTTGGAACCACATTTTTCTTAGGGTTGGACTTCAGGTCTATTTGCTTCTAAATGAGCTTGCTTCTCATTTCGAGCAGTTACTTTTTACTCCCCAGCTTTGCCACAAGGCAACAGTGTAGTGATTGTGTAACTAGTCTAATTCACTTTGCTGGAAAGGCCATGAGTGAAGGGCAGAGTGGGCTTCCACTCAGTGAGCACACAGTGAGTCACGGGGGACATCAAATGCTGTGAACTACAAGGTTCTTTTCTTTGTTTAATCTGTGTGTGTGTGTGTGTGTGTGTGTGTGTGTGTGTGTGAAGTGCAGGTACACACATGCCGTAGGGTGTATGTGCCAAACCCTTGGTACTTGCCCTCGCCTTCCACTGTTAAACCGGTTCTTTGTTGTTCGCCACTGTGTACGCCAGGCTCGCTGATGAGCTTCTGGGTTTCTCCTTCTTCATCTCCCAGCTTACCATAGGTGCTGGAGTTATCAGATGTGTTCTGCTGTGCTTCGCTTTTACATGCATTCTGGGTATTTGAACTCAGACCCTCACATGCACAAGACAGGCTCTTTACTCACTAGCCATTTCCCAAAGTGCCTTGTCAGGGTTTCCAGAGGTAGAAGGGTTAGTGTGTACGTGTCCTAAAGGGCGAGTAGCCTCGGAACCTGCCCCTGTCTTCCAGCATCTGATTCTAGTTTTGCTTCACTGACACTTCTGTTGTCTCTAATGATGTCATCCGCCACGGAATTCCTCCATATTTGGTTGTCTGCACTGTTTCTTTTCAGCTAAAGCTGTCTACCTTACCTGGCTTTAGACCTGCCCCAAAGCTGTGTGTCCTGTCTTCTAAACAAGTACTACCCTAGAAAGTGAGCCAGGAGTTGGGGTGGAGGAGGCCCGAACAGTTTCCAAAACTCAGCTGCAGAGAGACACCACATTCCCTTCTCTGTCCCTGTCACTTTGTCCTGTTTTGTCCAAGATGCCTGGAAGCCTTATCCTGGTCAGGTATGCAAATAGTTCCCCCAAGAAAATCTCATATTGCTCAGTGCTGAGCTCACAGTGGGCAACTAATAACCACCAGCTGAATGCAGCTGAGACACTCACTGCGGGGGCCCCGCCGGGTTGTCACACTCAGGAGGTGACTCTCGGGCTCTTCCTCTACTGTCTCCTGCATCTTCTGCTGGTATTCTTCATGAGATTTGTCCGACACCATTTCCTCAGGGGCAGTGGTGGGTGGCTGTGAATAGATCAGAGGTTCAGAGATGCCCCAGGGACTTCAGTTGACTCAGTTCCTCTCACAGATGTGGGTCACAAGAGAGGGTATGGGCCTTGGTACTCTTCATGCCGAGCCAATGTGGTTCCTGCCTCCCAGTCACCGAGGCCAGCCCTGAGCTGTTCCTAGGAAGCTTTTCATCATAGCATGGCGGTATCCCCAAATAAAGTGATTATTTTCTCTTTTGCTAGGTAAAAAGTGTAGAGCTCTGCAGAAACTCACAACAGAATTATCCATTCCCAACACCAAACAGACAGAAAACGACTGTTGAAGTGTTAGTGGCGAATCTGGGCTGATATTGAGTCTACATTTTGGGTGCCCCGAGAGTAACCTGTGGTATCTTCAGGGGACTTAGAAGAGAGGAAAAATAAGGAAGCCAAGTCGGCAAGGATCCTCTAGAGCAGGATACATAAAAAGGAAGACATCTGTAAGGTTGGGCTTCCAAAACTCAGCATCCAAGACCTACTGCATCCCCTTCTCTGTCCCTGTTACTTTCTCCTATTCACTCCAAGATGCTTGGCAGCCTAATCCCTGGCCGCTCACTGCTCACTGTGTGGTTCTAAAGCTAAGGACTCTTAATCTGACACTTCAGGGTTTGGAGCCCAAGGCTGCAGAGCAGCAGGCTGAACGGGCAGGAGAGGGTTAAAGCTGCAGGCGAAGGTGTGGCTATGGGTGTCCTGGTTCCCCAGAGTGGCCAGAAACTGTCCATGTGGTCTGGCAGCTCCTCTCAACCCCGGAACCCTCCCCTGCATGATTGCATCCAGCCTGCCCGAAAGACAACAGGCTCTGGTCCTCCCTGCTTTCCCCAGTGAAAGTGTGTAGAGCTCTGAGCAGCTTGCCCGGCATTTCCTCCCCTCTCCACCTTCCCAGGCCCATTCCTCTCCCCGGAAACCCATCACAGGATTGCTAGCTCAAAATGGCGTTCCCTTTCTCTCCCTCCCACGCTGGCGTGGAGGATTGCTCCAGGCAAGTCTCTCATCCACAACAGACCCTTGCCTCCCCCCTTTTCATAGGCCAGCAACTTCTTACCAATAAGAATTGATTTACCTTGCACCCAATCCTTCCAGCCTAGTTGGGAAACTCCTGCAGAAAGGTGGGGGAGGACGGATGGATTGCAGGCTGGGGAGACAGGAGTTAACCTCTGGCTAAGTCTAACAAGGAATTTGGAGTAGGTGTTGGAGAAAGGAGTTCTTTAAGATTTGTAATCGTGCAGCGCCATCTACCGCCTGTCCTGGTTTATGGCCATTAGTGACAGCACTAAACCAGTGTCTCTATAAATTGCTCTCTGAAGCTCCAAACAGGAACCATAGCCTTATTAAAAGCACCATCTGTTTAAAAGCCCCCATGCCAGCATCCTGCACATCCGACTATCCACCTGCATCCCTGCCTCACATTCTCTAGAGCAAGCTAAGAGTTGGTATCCACAGGCAGGATGCTTCCTAAGGTGGATTCTGTGTGGTCCCTGGAGGTGCAGGCAGGCTCCAGCAGTGGCGTATCCCAGTGATATACCACACTGACAGACAGTTTCTCATTACTTCTTACCTTTTTCTTTTTCTGTTGTCTTTGGATCCTTGACTTCTTCCGTCTTTCCACCTCTGCATCCACTTCCACACCATCTTCAGTGAACTCCTTTGTCAAAATACAAAGAGAAGAGGAGACTCTCAGGAGAGGAAAGGTGTGGTCTTCAGGTATTAAATGCTATCCTGACCATGGCCTCCATCCACTAACATGAGGTTGAGCAAAGGGATAATTAACAAAATCTAAGTGGCCACCATGAGCCACTCTTTTCAAAATAGACCTACTCTCTGGGCTGAAGAGATGGTTCAGCAGTTAAGAGCACTGACTGCTCTTGCAGAGGATGGGGTTTGGTTCCCAGTCCCCATATGGTGGCTAACAACCTATCTTAACTCCGATTCTAGGAGATCTAGCACCCTCTTCTGACCTCTGTATGACATTGTCTGCATGCGGTGCACTTACACACATGTACACAAAATACACACATAACATTAAGCAAAAAGGCCTGTTTTGAGACATTGTAGCCTAATCGAAACTTTGTGTAAGGGTGTTGTATCTCCTAGTGTTGCAAATTCTCATTCCTGCTTTAACATTTATTAAGCACTTACTGTGTTCCAGGTCCTGGGGGTACAGGGAAGAACACAGCATGCTCCCCACTCTGAAAGGTCTCATTCTAAGAAAGGTGACTATCAAATAAACCCCCAGGGCAGATGGAAAGCCTGGGACAGACAGTGGAGTCATATTTGGGATTTCATGGGTTGAGTGTTACTGCTTGCCTGCCTGACTGGAAGACAGGGTCAAAAGGAAACAACACACTATAAATTAAGTGATCAGCGGTTTTAGATTTCAACTCACAGAGAATTTTGGCAGATCGTTTTGAAAAGGGAAAAATGCAGACATCATTTTCTTTTTGCACATCGTGCCTCCTAACATTGTACACATAAGATCTTAGAGTTCAGATCTCGGAAGTATTAATGCTTTCAAGTTTTCTAGTTATGAAGTTTTACAAACCAGGGTATCAGCACATCTGGACAAGAACTTGCAACATACTGTCTGTGATAATGCACACCTGTAATTCGTGTACTCAGGAACTGAAGCAGTAAGATCAGGGTTCCAGTCTAACCTGGGCTACATGCAAAGTTCACCACGGCCAGCCTGTCCCAAAGTGAGACAATCTTAAAAATAAATGAATAAACAAACACAGAAACATTAAGCCTCTCACTAAATTCACTGAAGCAAAATTAAAATTTAGAACTTGAATCTTAACAGGCCCCAATTACTCCCCTTCCTCCTTATCCACTGAAATCTAGGAAGACACAATCCATTTCAGGGGAGAGAGCTGAGATCCCAGCATAGAATAAGCTTGGCTTGGGCTTTTGGTCTGTGGCCTAGTGCTTTCAGGAGAGGCCTCATCCCCGTTTCTCTCCTGGGGCCACCAGGCAAGGAGTGTTCTTAGTTCAGAGATTCCTACGAGGATGTTAATGTCCAGGTGGGCAGATATGGCTCTGAGTTTAATTCTTAAGTTTTCTTTGGCTTAGAATGGACTGTTGAGAAATCTAGGTCATCTTTTACTTTCCAGGAATGTCTTAATCCTCAGTCAGTAGGAAAGGGTCCAGTAGTAGTTCTGGGAGGATGGAATGCTCCTCAAGGGCTTGGAGATTTATTTACTGCTAGATCCCCAGGTACCTGTTTGCTAAATGACTGAATCAGCAGAGATGTATGTGGCCCATTAATACTTGATATCTTGATTAAAGTTTGTGTGGTTTTGTGAAGTGTTCTTGTGGGTTTTTTCTTAAAGTATTACATTGGAAGCAGAACATCTCCTTACTGTCTCTGTGGTTTCAAACCTATGAGCCCTTAATCCAAGGGGTGGTGTGGTGAGGATTCAGAGGAACACACTGTTCTTTGCTAAGTGGGCTACAGGTGCTGCTGTGGGTGGCTTCCTTCTCTAGTCTGAGCAGTGCATGTACTGAGGCTCTTGTAGTATGCCAGGACCAGGGATTTTACCATTACCCACAGAGGCCAGAAACAGATTTGTGAGAAATCATCATTGTTCAGGCAGGGCTGGTTCCAGTAGCACAGTGAACACTGCTGTGTGCCCACATTCATGAACACTGACAAAAGTTCCAGAAGATTCAGGTAGAGGTGGAACCCCTGGGTGCCTGCAGGCCTTTGTGACCCTCCCCATCCACCTCCCCTTCTAACAGAGGCCTGTAGAGAACTCTTGAGGTACATGGAGTAGGTGTGTGTTACATTAAGTTTGGCCCAAGGATGTCTCTTTTCATTTGGGAACTTAATAAATGACAATTTAGCCTGGAAATTGACTGAAATCTAACTGGAGGTATGTTTTGGAACAATAGTCCTGCCTCAGAGAATCCTAGTGGTGGTCCCAATCAATCACAGATTAGTGCTCAAACAGGGCAACAGGGGGCTGCAATCAAACTGCTCCCCTCACTTCTGTTTCCTGCCCACTGTGCTACCTGCCACTGTGCCCAGCAGAATGCCCCACGCCTTTCCTAAGCCTGAGAGTTTCCAACTCATTCATAAGTCTTGGCTTCAAGCTCTGTGAATTTTGTCTAAAGTGTGTGAAAAGGGTTCCCAGAAAAACTACCTCTTAAAACTGAACATTAGGGGCTGGAGAGATGGCTCAGTGGTTAAGAACACTGGTTGTTCTTGCAGAAGACCTGGGTTTGAATCCCAGCACCCACATGGCAGCTAACAACTGTCCATAACCCCAGTTCCAGGAGATCTGACAGCCTCTTCTGTCCTCCACGGGCATTGCACAACACGGATGCACTTACCTACATGCAGGCAATACATACATACACATAAAATAAAATTGAAAAAAAAAACCCCTGAACATTAGGGGCTGGAGAGATGGCTCAGAGGTTAAGAACATTGACTGTTCTTGCAGAAGACCCGGGTTCGAATCCCAGCACACACATGGCAGCTAACAACTGTGGGAAACTGCAGTTCCAGGGGATCTGACAGTCTCTTCTGTTCTCCATGGGCATTACACGACACAGGTCCACGTACCTACATGCAGGCAGTACATGCATACACATAAAATAAAAATGCTAAATATTTTTAAAAAACAAAAAACTGGACATTAAAAATGAACATTTTACAAAGGCTGATCAACTGATTAGAACTTCAGTGATTTTGGGAGAGTTTGGAATGTTGCAGTCTAATTATTATTTATCTTGAGCCATCTTTAGCCCCCTAAATAGCCACTCCTTGCCCACATTTGTTTCTGACTTAACATCCTGTGACTAACAGATAAAAACCTTTTGGAATGTTTTAACTTAACAGAACACCAGCTTTCACCAGTCAAAAGGCTGAGTGCCATCTGAGGCCTATAGCTGAGGTTTCTATTTTGCTGTATCCACCTATTTAATGTTTCCACCAACGAGTTTAAAAAACGTTTTTATTTATGACTTTTCTTTGTTCTGTTAGTATAAGAACTTCAGGAAACTATTACCATGTCGGAACGTGGAATTTGGGGTGACCTGAATCTGTGTTCCCAGGCCATGGTCACTCATATTTGGCTCCAGAATGAACTATCACTTATCCCCTTGAGGTGAGAGTTTTGCTTTAGCGTTGACAAGTATCTCTTTTAACATATGCAGTAAATGCTTGTTGCTGGGCTTAACTTCCTTTCCCAAGGGTGTACCTAAGCAGTGACTTACCTGTGAAATGATTTTTACTTTTTCTTCCTTGGGATTCATCTTGGCTACGATGGATTCCTGACTGAGAAAGAACAAAGATGATGTCAGGCATTATGAAATCAGTGAAACGGCGTTCTTGCTGTTAATGGGTACGAAGCTGACCTTGATGGTGACGCAAGGATTTAAGCTGTTCACTGGGAATACTGCAGACCCCAGGATTGGTGAACAAACACTAGAGGAGGTGGAGGGATAACAGACTCCTTTGTCTCTGGGAACCTAGCTTTGCTGGGTGCATGTTGGGAGTCAGATGACCTCGGCTGGAACTCAGCTTCAGAATCCAATTCAGGCCTTCACCTCTCCCTCAAGCCTCCACCTCCAGCCCGTGCTGTTTTGATCTAGATGTCAATTTTCATTTAATTGAGAAGAGAGATGAGACCAGAGAGGGCTGACCTCACCCCCTTCAGCTCTCCGGGTCACAGCAGGCGTCTCCTTCCACTTGCTACTGTGAGTCCTCTGTTTTGACCTAGCCAGTTCTCCGCGGTCACTGGGCCCATCACTCCCCTGCACCCCCTACGGCCAAGACCTTGGTCTTGAAAACCCCACACCCTACCCCCGACATCTGGACAATCAGTTTTTTAAAATTTATTCTATAGGCGCATTGTTAGTACTAGAAGTATCATAATTTGTCTTTTCCTTTGAAAAATGTACCCTCCTGACTTCTCTTTCCAGCTGTTGGAATTTTTCCATCTTTCTAGGAAAAGCCCTTGAAACAGTCTTTCTTTTTCTAATCTTTATGTTTGGGTTTTGTGTGTGTGTGTGTGTGTGTGTGTGTGTGTGTGTGTAATATGCTCTGAAGTTGTTCCTGGTCATATGTTAGTGACACCTGCATTGCTGTGTCTGTTCACCTGCTTTTTTGTGTTCTGGACCTCATCAGAGGCATCATCTAAACACTTTCTTCCCTGGGCTTCTGGACCAAGATCCTTCCTGGTTTCCTTTCCATTCTCTTTCTGCTCCTTCTCAGACTCCATTGCTGGTGTCTCATGTCCTGGACACTGAGTACTGGAGGGCTCTGGGGCTCAGCCCAGCCCGTTTGCACTTCTCTGGCCTGATTCTTAGTCTTACACACCATATATATATACAGATTCTTTCCACATTGGCACACTGAGTCCAAATGTCTCTTCAGAATTCTGGACTCCAATATGTGACTGTGTCATAGATGACTTCCCTTAGCATCGTGAAGCTCTTGGCCCTTGTCCCTGAGCTTGTGCCTCAGCTCTTCCTGCTGCACAAAATAGATCTGCTCAGCTCAGGACACAACCCTTGCAGCCATCCTTAACTGCTCTTGCTCTGATGGCATAGCACATCTGCAATGATTTTAGGTATCAAATTCCTTGATCACTGGATCAACGAATACTAGAGATCTGGGAAAGTACTATTCTGTGGGCCTGGGAGGGTATTTCCAAAGTACATTAGTGTGTGAGTCTGGACTTGGTGGAGAAGATTTCTAAAGGGAGAGGTACCATCTAATTATCTAGAAACCCAGAACAAATACAGGAGAATTTGCATATCCCTCAAACCCCTAAGACCCAGGACTCTCGGATGCATGACTCACACCAACAGCCAGTCATACCATTGGCTTCCTTGGGTTTGAGGCCCTCAGACTTGGATGCCCCTACACGACCAACACCCAAGATCTTCAGCCCATAGATCACCAGCTGTGGGATTTTACAGTCACTATAGTCAGGTGAAAGCACTCCCTAGTAGATCTCTGCTCATATGTCTGTGTACCTATCCTGACAGTTCTGTCTCCCTGAAGAACCATGACCAATTCAACATCTGATCCTTCAGGAATCTGTCAGCTACCTGCTGGTCCCACTGTTTCCAAGACCTCGTCTACCACCACCATTGTCAGGTCTGCTCTTGTCTCCAGCAGCCACTGCTGGGGAAACTCCTGACTCAACTGTCTCCCACATCGCTCACCTACAGTATTGTCTTCACTGAAGCCAGAGTGTATGGTTGGCAATTTAAGTAGGATCATGACATTCCACCACTCGAAGTCCTCCAATGACCTCCTTTGTCAACTGAGTGATAGTCCAAACTCTTCCAGCCTTACCACATGATTTTGCACGTGAATCTTCTAGCCTCAGGCCCTTGTGTTTGCTGCTATTTGTTATTTCATCTGCTCAGAACTCTTTTTTCTAAAACTATCTGTATCAGGCATTCTCTCTCTCTCTCTCTCTCTCTCTCTCTCTCTCTCTCTCTCT